GCTGAGCTGGTGTGTCACTACTGCCTTGCTGTTTGTGAGCAGGTGGGCCTGTAGCCCGACTCCTCAAAGAACAGATAGGTGAGTGCAGAGCCAAGAGGGCATCAGCCATGGACAGAGTATCTAGAAAGTGATTTCTAGTGCGAAGAAGAAAGTTTTTGCACATTAGCTTTCTATTATGGTGTCAGGACTCCCCGAGACATGCCACTCTCTGTTTGGTCTCAGTGTCCACATCCTGGTGGAGCCCAGCTCACTTTCTCACACTGAATCATGAGGAAGATAAAGCAGCAGATTACACAAATCTCAAGAACCTCCCCTCTGTGCTAGTTATCCTCCTCTTCCAGCCTCTCAACGGTTCCAGTTTTGTTTTGTTCATTTACACAACAAATATATATTAGCTATATGTACCAAGTACTATACTAGTGGTCAGAAGATCAGAGGACATATTGTACTGGGAAAGTTCACAGTCAGGGAGCTTGTCAAATCATTGAAGAGCACTTATGTCACTTTGAGGACTAAGGTGCACCTGATTCAGGACATGGTCTTTTAAATCACTTGCTTTGCATCTGAGAGCTGACAATGAATAAGGATGACAGAAGAATAATTGGTGTCTTTAAACTCTGGTCCTGGAGATGAGTGCTGAAGATCCCATGTACTGCTAAAAGAGCAAACAGATACGTCTTGGAGAAGGTGCAGCCAGAGTGTTTCTTGGAGGCAAACATGATGAAGCTTTGACTCACGTACTTTGAGCATGTTGCTAGGAAATGTAATTCCTTGGAGAGAGACTTCATGCTTGTTAACGTAGGGGGACAAGGAAGCAGAGGAAGACCCTCAGCCAGGCAGATTGACAAAGTGACTGCAACAATGGGCTTGAGTGTGTCAGAGGTTGTGAGACTGGCACAGAATAGGACCGTGTTTGGATCTGCTGGACATAGAGTTGCTGTGAGTTGTACTAGACTCAATGGCCCCTAACAACACTATGTATACCAGGGCCTATGAGTGCTCTGGTGGCCTAGTGGGTAAGGAGCTACCCGGCTAACTCAAAGGCAGGCAGTTGAAATACACCAGCTGCTCTGTGCGAAAAAGATGGAATAAGCTAATTTCCTCCTGAAAATCAGCTGGAGGGTCAGCTATGAGTCAATTCTGACACACCTGCAGTGAGTTGAGTTTTTGCTGTTGATAACATACCAGGTTCTGTTCAATATGGTAATGGTAGTTAGGGGGTGGGATGACAAATCTACCTTTAGACTATTGTGAGTGGGAATGGGTAAAGGGAGAGTATGCAGTGTCAAGTGGTTTAAGTGCTATGGCAGAAAACGGGGTTCATAGAGAGTCGCAAGGTGGTGGGTTGCAATTTGAAATAAAATGATGAGGCAGAGACTTGATGGAAATGAGGATCGAGCCTTATGAGTAGTTCTCTGGGAAACAAGTAGCGCAAAGAAGGGACCAAGGCATCAGTGAGTATAGTGAGCGAGACTAGATGAAGACCGAGAGAGAGAGAAGTAAGCAGGTCATGCACAGTCTTGCATGAAGTGGAAGGACTTGATTTTGTATCTGTACAACATGGGAAGACAGTGAAAGGTCAGACACAGTCAGTGGGGAGAAGAGAGACATGATCTATGTTTTTAGGGTCCACTTGTTCCCCCTGTTCATAGGCTGGAGGGAGGCAATGGCAGAAGCGAGGAGGCCAGATAGGAGGCCATCACTGTTAATCACTCCGATAAGAAATGATGTTGGCTTGGAATAAAGTAATAGTGAGAAGGATCTTATTTTGGAGGTAGACCCCACAGAATATTTTGATAGATTAAATGTAGGGTGTGGTGGGAAAAAGAAGAGACAAAGTTGTTTTGGTGTTTGTTTTGTTTTGTTTATGGTTATTCTCTCCCCATAAACATGACTGTTAGAGTGGAGTTGCTGAGTAAAATCACAGAGTAAAATCAGTGATGACCCAAAATCTTGTTGAAGTTGTCTCCATTTCTTTCCTGGAATGTAGTGTGTCCCATTGTTGTCAACTGTCCATCCTTGAAAATCAAAAGTTGATTTTGACATACGAGTCTATATGACAGAGCAAGAGAGAATACAACCTTAATGCACTCCTTTCTTAATTTTAAACCATGCAGTATTCCCCTGCTTTGTTCTCAGAACTGCCTGTTGATCCATGTACAGGTTTCTCATGGGTACAATTAAGTGCTCTGGGATTCCTATTCTTCTCAATGTCAATTTAATTTGTATGCAGAATGAATTATTTGAGAAGCTGGACTCTATGAAGATGAATGTGACATCAGGATCAGAGAGACTCATCAATAACCTGCATTATTCAGATTACACTACCTTGTTTACTGAAAGTGAGGAAGACTTGAGGCACTTGTTGCAGAGGATGAAGGAATTCAGCCTTCGATTTGCATTGCCTCTCAATGTCAAGAGAACAAAGAATCATGACTCTGGACGAATATACAACATTATGATGGGTGGAGAAGAGATTGAAACTGTCAACAACTTCCTCTTACTTGGATCCACAATTAACACCCTTGGTACCAGCAGTCAGAAAATCAGTAGATGTATTGAATTGGAAAAGTCTGCAGTGAAGGACCTCTCCAAATTATTAAGGATTAATGATGTCAGTTTGAGGACCAAGGTGTGTCTAATTCAGGCCATGGTCTTACCAATCACTTGATATGCATCTTATAGCTGAACAATGTGTCAATAGAGATGATAGAAGAATTATTAATGCCTTTGATTTGTGTGGTGTTGGAGAAAAGCAATGAACAGCAATGGACTGAAAAAGAACAAATAAATATGTCTTGGAGAGGGTGAAGCCAGAGTGCTCTTTGGAGGTAAGAATGATGAGTCTTCGCATCACATACTTTGGGCATGTTGCTGTGTGTGTGTGTGTGTGTGTGTGTGTGTGTTTCCTTCGAGAGTGACATGATACTTGGAAGGGTGGAGAGTCGACGAAGGGGAGGAAGACCCTCAACCAAGTGGGTTGACATGGGGACTGCTGCAATGGGCTTTAATGTGTCAGGAAGTGTGAAGATGGCCCTGGGTAGAAGAGTTCAGATCTTTTGTTCATAGGGCTGCTATGAGCTGTATTCAATTTGATGGCACCTAACGACAAATAACAAGATGCGAGAGCAGAACTACCGCGTGGGCTTTCAAGCCTTTACAGGATCCCATCAACAGCTGTTTTCTCTGGTGGAGTGACTAGTGCCTTCGCCGTGCCGAGGGAACGCTAGCGACTGTACCGCCAGGACAGCTTAGTGTGGCCTGTGAGGCCTAATTAGAATGTCATCTGACACACCTTAAAAAAAACGACAATGCTAAACAACATACTTTTAAATACAACGGGAAAATGAACAGATTTATTGAAATAATACAATATATTCTTAACATAATGAAAGATATGACAATTAGCATTTCCCCCCAAAGTATTTGATAATGATTTGCCTAAGTAGGAAGTTAAAAATGAAAACAATCAAAATAAAAGCAAACCTGGATGTACCTGGTAACTTTCCTGAGATAACCATAACTTTTCATCAACCTTCAGGACAACTACTGGATTTCATAAATGTGTCTTATGTTGATTATACACCCACCTATCTCTAGACAACCCATTGCTCTTAATTCCCTCCTCTTGCCCTTTAAGAGGCAAAAGAGTAGTTAGCAAACAAGGAGGAAAGGAGCATACTTTAAAACCAAAAAAAATGTAAACTTGGGGCATGAAAAAGGAGGGAGAGGGGGTAAAAATGTGAAACAATGAATGAATGAAAATCTAACTTTTCTGTAAACTTACATAAAGTCACAATTAAAAATTCTATTTAAGAAAACCACCCATGCAAAAGTAACCTTTTTTAGTCTTTAGGTCTGTGCTAAAATTTCTTTTCTCTGGGCATATGGGAAAGCAATAGAACCAACTGTTGACTGTATAGAGCCTCACCACCACTGGGCTATCATTTGAGAAGGGCAGGAGAGTTGCTAGGTGGTGGTCTGGAATCCTTTATTGTCACTGTAATCGCCATCAGCATTTGTCCAAAGCCTTCCCTTCTCAAATAAACCTATCATTTATTTGGTTGTGTGCTTTTACAGCTTGAAGATCTCTACCAAGCTCTCTATCTGGTCTTGCTTCCTTCCTCCTTCCTAAGGATTCAAATGTGTAGACCTTATGAAGGTGCCACCTGCAGAGATAATTTGTCATAAGTGCTCCATTGAATGGTAGCATAGACTTGGAGTTAAGGTTTTAGTAGGGTTTTTTCCTTCTTCTTTGCTGAAAAATACTATAATTTTTGAAATAAGAATATGTTCTTTAAGGCAATATTAGAAACAAAGCAGAAAATCCTCACTGTGTGTACTAAGTGGAAGGAAATCTTATTGAATAGACTGTCTTCCATATTTCAGATATTTTTATAATCTCAATCCAGAGATTATGATAATTTTTATATCAAATCCTTTTATTTATATAAAGAAGAAAATGTTGATTTGACAAATAGAACTATTTTATAAAAGGAAATACATATAAGAAAAGTGTAGTCACAAAAATAAAAATGTAATTTTAAAAGAGCATATTTATATAAAATCAACTGGCTCAGTAAAAAGCAGGAAAGGAGTGCTTCAGAATAGTTTCAATCTGCACAGCTATGTGTATTATTTTTAATGAACTCAGCAATATTTGGCCAAATGCTTACTATTCCTTATTCTTAAACATTTATTTTACTGACTCAGAAGAAAATGAATTTTAGAGATTCTGAAATAAAGTTCTTTGTTTTATAGTGGTTTTATATATTTATTCTCTAACTCCTCTTTAAATGCTAATGCTTTTTTGCTTAAACATGATTTGCAAATGAAAGAGAAAGGAAGAATGGATAAGCAAAGAAGTCCCCAAAGTGTAATAGTAAACAATGTTGTAAGAAAAAACCCCACAAAGACAATTTCACATGAGACCCTTCAAAAAGGAGCACACTCACTCCTGGAGAGATCCTGACTCACGTTGGTGTGTATTTACCACCACTTTACAGAATTCCCACACATCTCTCTTGACTTCTCGCACTTCTTTTATCTAACATTGGTTGATATATTTTAGCTGATAGACAGTAGCTGGATTGAGATGGTAGAGCTTCAATTTTCACCACTCTGCGTTTTCCTTCATATACCTTCTGCTCCTATGCACAACAAGAAAAATCATACAATAAATGTTTTCAGTAAGTTACTGATTTGCTCCAATTTTAAAAATAAAATGACTAAGTTGTAATGAGATATTATAGTGGTTGTGCATGGGTATTTGGAATTCTAGTGTAGGGTTCCTTCCCTTATTTTGTTCTGAGTCCGAAATCATAGTCTGCTGAAAGGACACATGAAATGATTACATGGACACTTGGATGGATTGAATTGTGTCCCCCATTACCAAAAATGTGCTGCAAGTCATTACCTTTATGGGGGCTCCATTTATGCTATTTATAGCATAATCCATAGGGAATTTTACTGCCAACCTGAGGGCTGTGCCTCTCGTGGTTGGAATCCACCAGTGATTCCTCAGGAGATGAGCTATCTCCTCCCATGCCATTTACCGTCTCCAAAAATCCACATGTGGTCAGCTGGGGGTTGATTTCAACTTTACAGCAGTACGAGTTGAGATATATGTGTATATAATCCCAGTAAGAGATAGAATTATCTTCGTTATATTAATGAGACCACATCAGTACATGATGTGTCTTTAGACAATTACTTTGCAGATATAGAAAGAGTAGATTAGGCATAGAAGCAAAGAAGCCCACATGGGGAAACGATGATGCTATATGGAGATCACCAAAGAATCCAGGAAGAGGAGCTGAAGGAAACAAGGACCTTTCATCAGAGCGGACAGAAAGAGCCTTCCCATCGAGTAGTACCTCCCAGCAGACTCCCAGCATCCTACAATGTTAGAAAACAAGTTTCTATCCATTAGAGATACGTTATTTTTGCTGTAGCGGCCCTAAATCACTGCGACATCACACCATCTGTCTGATTGTCTGTGTGGCCAGCCAACCAGAGTCTGCATTTCAAAAAGTATGAAGTGTTCAGAGAGCAGAATGAAGGAGACCTGCGGAGGTAACTATGGACATGCAACCAGTGTCCACAGAGAGACTGAAATTCAGAGACAGAGAGGCCACTTAGTATTTGCTGCTGCTTTTATCCTTTTCCGTCACTACAAAGTCACTGATTCTATTTTCTGCTTTTTAGTATCCATGATACTGTTTGTTACTTCTTTCTTAAACCCTTCCCCCTCCCTTTTCTTCTTCATTTGAATTTGAACAGATCTCTATTCCTTATAGCAGAAGGAACCCTTTCTGAGACACCAGAAGAGAATATTCAACTGTCTCACCAAGATAAAAGGTAGATTAGAATATCAGCATTAAATTACCACAATGTAATGCTGGGATCCAAAAAAAGTACTCTAAAATAAGATGTGTAAATCCATAAAATTAATAGTTATGGTAGTTGAATAGCATTTACTGTTGTTAATGCTAATCTTTACAGATCCAGAGAAGACACTCTGAAAAAGCTGACACGTACACTAACATCCAGGCAGGGGATTAATAGAAGCTATTTGCCACGGAACCAATTCCAACTCATGATCATCCCATATGTGTCAGAGTAGAAGTATGCTTCTTAGAGCTTTTAAAGCGGTGACCTTTCGATCACAGAGCACCAGGCTTTTCTTCTGAGGCTGCCTTTAGGTCTGTTTGAACCACAAACCTTTTGCTCAGTAGTTTGGTACTCAGCTAATTGTACCACCAAGGGACATCTATACACACGTTATTGTTGTTATTGTTAAGTGCCGTTTAGTTGTAGATGAGTATAGCGACCCTGTGAACAAAAGACCTGAGCACTGTTCATAGAGTTTCCAGAGGCAAGCCATTTTGGAAGTGGACACCACTCCTGTTTTCAAGCTTGTTTCAATTGGAGAGCTCCACCAAATACTGTCCACCATGGGTGACCATTATCATATTGGCACATCAGTGTCACAGTGTTTAGCATCAAAGCAACCATATGTTACCTTTGTATTAAAATCACCCACCTTGGACTTGATAGAATAAATTTTTGTCCAGTAGGCCAATGTAGCTCTCTCTATGTTGTGTCATTGTTATTATTGTGAAGTGCCATCATACATACACAAATTTTGATGGTGATACTTTGCACAAATTGCTGTGGATGCTGTTGTTGCCATTGAATCAACTCTGAGTCACAGACACCCTGTGGACAACAAGTCAGAACATTGCCCGATCCTGCGCCATCCTCACAATCTCGAGCCCATTGTTAGAATAAATGATGACTGAAAGGAGAGGAGCTTTTTTTGTTTTTTTAAATTTCATTTTATTATTTTGTGTGTGTCTACCATCAAATTGGATCTGACTGGTACAGGAGGAGATTGTCCCTTCTCCAGCAGAACATCTGGTGGATTTGAACTGTGTACCTCTGATTGCAGTGCAGGTTCTTGCCACTAGACCACCAGAGCTCCAGGAGAGGAGTTTTTGAAAAATAATAAGAAAAGGTAAATAGGAATATTATATGGCAAAAACAGACAAAAATTAAAATTGATTCATCTGAACTCACCTTTTCTAGAGAATTGCTAATGATAAATACTTGGTACACTATTCCATAGTAATCTTCTACTGATGCATTATTTCCTTTTGTGTCTCTGTATGGAAAATTTGGAGTACAGAGACTCACCAACAAAGATCCATGGACTTGTGTTATATTCATGAGTGGAGGATCTATTTTCGCTGGAGAAAGAATGAAAAATTTTGAAATATTTAAAATTTGTAGTTATCACACTTGACTACATTATGCATAATAAGAAATTATTCTATCATTATTAAAGACAGAGACTTGATAAAAACTTGTTATGTACCGTTGAGTCGGAACTGACCCATAGCTGAGCCTCTGGTAGGTTTTCAGAGGCAGTTAATCACAGAGGAGGAGATTGCTTATCCTCCCGCAAAGAAGCTGGTGGCCTTGAACTGCATGTACTCAGGATTGCAGCTCAGCTTCTTGCCACTAGGCCAACGGAGCTCCTTTTATCTCGTTGAAGACAATGTTACATTCATCAAGATTAATACTCCTCCCTCCCCGCCCCCAGAGAAAGTCAAACATCCATAACTTAAAATTCTGATCTCTCTCTGACTGTGGTGATTAAGGTTGAGGGTCAACTGGTTGGTTCTCTGATATAGTTATTGTTGTTAGGTGCCATTGAGTCAAGCATGATAATTCATAGTGACCCTATGGACAAAAGATGTGAACCCCCTTCTATCCTGTGCCATCCTTACATTTCCTAACACCCAAGAGCCCATTGAAATAGTCACTGTGTCAGTCTACCTGGTTGAGGGTCTTTCTCTCCTTTGCTAACCCTTCACCCTTCCTAGCATCATATTGCTCTCCAAAGAATAGCTCCCTCTAGCAATATGTCCAAAGTATGTGAGGTGAAGTCTCCTTATTCTTGCCTTCAAAGAGCTCTCTGGCTGTACCCTCTTCTAGGACATATCTGTTCATTCTCTTGGCCTTCCATGGGATATTCAGTGCTGTTCTCCAATACCACAGTTCAAAGGCATCAATTCTTCCTCTGTCATCCTTATTCATTGTTCAGCTCTGATGCATAGTAAGTGATCAGAAAGATCATGCCCTGAATCAGATGCACCTTAGTCCTCAAACTGACATTATTACTCCTCAAAAATTTGGAAAGGTCCCTATCTACAGATTCTCCCAGTGCAATGCATCTCCTTATTTCCTGACTGCTATTACCAAGGTGTTAATAATGGATACAAGCAAGATGAAGCTGTTGATAATTTCAATCTCTTCTTCCATCTATTTATGATGTTGTCTCTCAGTCCAGTGGTAAGAATCATTGTATTCTTGACATTGAG